GAAAAAATAGTTATTTCACCTTGAAAAAAAATAATTAGAAACTTCTCAGTATTTTAGCAAGAATCTATTTTTTATCATGTGTTTACCCAAATGAGCTACTGGATGAAAAAATTATATTTTATAACATAAATTTCTCATTAATTCGTGATCGGAAGAAATCCACCATTTCTGAAGTGTATGTTTATTATATCTATCTAAAAATTGAAAATATATAAAAGAAAATAATTCTTGATTTTTCTAAAAAGTCATGCACGCACATTTTCTCTCTGTCCCTTTAACTTCTTCTTTCATCTTGATGACAGATTTCACACTCATGAGATTTGATTTTTCTTTATTAAAATGTCAACTAAGTTTACTTCAACTCGAAAGTAAATGGAGTAGTTTATTAGTAAAGTCAAAATGTGCGTCAAAATATTGTTATATCATATATCTACTATTTATATCGTGGCAAACACAGATTTTTTTTCAAGAGGTATTAATATTTAAAAATAAATAATTGATACAACAATATTATATTAACAAACATTATTCAAAGCGTATTGATAAAACACAAATCTAAGTAAACTACAACAATTTATTATTGTGTCCAATTCCAAACTTCTATAATAGGATACAAATTATATTTTAGTTCAACTAAACTCGGTCATACGCTTGAAAGAATGATTTTTCCACCCTGCAGTAAACTAATTAAGAAAGTTCACTTGTTCAACATATGTCATTAATTAATATATATTATTTCTACGTATATTTTGATTTTTTCAGAATTATATATATATAATACTAAAAAATTTCAACAAAGCAGTGTCGATCGACACCCCTTGACATGGTCCATCCCTATATTTATATACTATTGATACATTACACATGTATATAAATAAATGCAGCTATTTTGAAGTTTTTTTTGTGCCAATTATGTAAGATGCCCTTGATTTAAGCTCTAGGCTCAGTTTTAGTCTAATTTTACATATACTTTATATCACAAAGGAATTACTCATGCTTTTTTTTTCCTCACCCGGTGTCCGGAAGCCCACATCAGAGCTCAGACTAAATCTGAATCGCGCACTGCAGGATCCGTTCGGAGGTGGTGCTCCCAACAAAAAAAATTCCATACCCAGGACTCGAACCCGAGACCTCTGGTTAACTACCTAACTATATATTAAGTTGTGATGGGTAAGCACTTTTTATAAATATCTTAAAACTTAGTTTCATAATATATTACCATGTATCTTAACTTGTAACCAATACATAAATACTCGTAGTTAACTTTCTAAATCATGTTTGACATCTTGTTCTTTTTAATATTCATGTTTAGACCGATGATAAATGAATGAATTGAGCTAAATTTAGACAAATCAAGATTGATTAAAATAATAAATAGACGGGTTATTGATCTGTTCAAAAATTACTTAAAATACGGATCAAAACTCAATCGTTCAACTCTCTAGTGTTATCTCATTTCATGACATTAATATAATTAATAATCTTTATTTCTAAGAATTTTCTTTTGATGTAAATATGCACTCACTAGGTCGTATGTAGTGTTTACTTTCGGTTTTGAAGCGTGTTATTTGTTTGTAATTGTCAACTAACGCCTATTAATTTCATAGGTTTCCTTTGGTGAACAACGTGTATTAAATCATTAAAAAAAGTTAATTTTTTTTTTACCCCGACTTTTAAAAACTAATCAATGTTTTTATAGAGTTTAAAATGACATTAACTAGAATTTCAAACGAGACTGAGTACGACCGAACTCACATGCACAATTTCATTTCCTATGAGAAATTTCCATCTCATAGGATTTCAACATTTAAGTATTTCAACAAGAAAAAAGTTTCACTTTTTATTTACAACGCGTCACCCTAGTTCGTACTTTAAAAAGGTGTATTTATAGACTATAGCTCACAATTAATTGTTTATATGACACATCGAGTCCAATTTGTGCTCATATTTCTTGGTACGTTTTTGGTTATTTGTCACACTACTTTTAGCAACAAAAAACAGTGTAACTTTTACATGTGAGGTCTTTATTCATCCATAAAAACTGAGTTAATTCCTTGAATTTTTCTAATTTTAGTGCATAGACTAAAATCATCCTATTTAAGGGTGGCCAATCCTCATAATTTCCACAAAATTAGTCAATCCAATTGTCCTATTCTCATGTCTAGAACCTTTTGACCAAATATATTATTCTAAGCTGAAAATTATACCGATGGAGACATGGAGTAATGGCCTAATCATCTCTCTAGAAAAAAATGCACACGGGTGTGGATCACTCAAGTTTGATTTTATGTATAATCAGTTTGGTTTATTGATTTTTGATTTTTGATTTTTTAAAATATGTTACTCAATAGTCAAATTAATAAAATACTTTTTGTCGGTTTTTGATTTAACTAATAGGAAAATGTTTATAAAATAATTATATCTTTTCCAATAATTTAATGCGATAAGACAATAATATAACATTATAAAATGCGCATAAAATAGAAATAATAGTAACTAACATTAATAGAAATATTCAAGTGAACACAAATAAAAGATTATTTTGATATGTTAGTGACATATGTCATGACTCATTTTGGACTTTAATTTTTCAATTGAAAGTAAATAGAGTTGATTTTTTCTTTCTTTCTTTTTTCAACAAATTGATCAGTAAAGTCAAAAATGTGTGTTGCCTAGATAAGCTAAGTTTATTTTATCATTAACTAATGTCAGTTTATGACAAAGAATTGATCAGAACAGCTAGCAGAAGGTCAATTATCTCTTATTTTTTTCCATTTTTAAGTAATACTCCTTCCATCCATTTCTAATTATCATGTCATATTTTTAAAAAGTCAATTTAACTAATTTCAAAGTTAAATTAAATTACATTAATTCAATATTTTAAACAAAAAAAATTAGATATTCAAAAACTATACGAAAAGTACTATAAATTGTAAGTTTTTATAAATTAATATGATGAAAAAATGCATCGTAAAATGTGATTCAATTCTTATAGTTTGAATATAAAAAGCAAATCATGACAACTAAAAGCGGATGGAAGGAGTACTCCCTTCGTTGTTTTAGTCATAGTTTCCTTTTCGAGAATCAAACAATATGGACTTTGACTAACATTTAAAGATATAATTTTTTACCATATTGATATGGAGCAATTTGTAGTATTTTTCATATATTTTTTGGATATCTGAATTTTTGTTTTAAAATATGAATTAATATAATCTAATTTAGATTTAAAATTTAGTCATATTGACTCTCTAAAAACTAACATGACAATTAAAAAAAAACGGAGAGAGTAAAATGTAAAAGCAATATTTTTCTTATTAATATGATTGGGCTGGGCCAGTCGTACCAGATCAGTCGACTCTCTTGTGAATTTGAGTCCAAATTTTGTATACTACAGTCTACATACACCATGGTCTGTGTCGGATACATCTATCTCTTCTCGTATACATCTCTATCCCTTATTGGATACATTTCGCTCCTCTCGTATACATCTCTATCCCTTATTGAATACATTCCGCTCCTCTCGTATATATCCCTCCTGATGTATCCGACCGAGATCCTATAAATTTAAGAATTTTTTGTAATTTAGGATAGAACAGGGATAAGATGTAATTAGCTCTTAACATTATGAGATTTGTATAATTTTTACAAAAAATATAATATGAAATGTGAAAAAAGTAGTTTGTGACGTTTCATTGTGATTGTGCCTTGTTCCTTCCAACACACTTTATCTTTACCCCATCCCTTATCCCCCTATACCCAGCACCACACACTCCTGCCCCCATCTCTTGCATAGTATGTATCTAAATTATATTCAAATATTTTAAAATAATATATTTTTACTTATATCGATCACAAGAAAATAATAATTTATCAAGTATAACATAATAATTTTTAAACCAATTATGGACAAAAAAAAAACAATAATTTATCAAGCAAATTTAAGTCCATGACATAATAATTTTGTAATCAGTTATGGACAAAAAATATTCCAAACTTCCCCTGTTTCTTTAATTATTTCTTCATATAATGACAAAAGTAGAATGACACTTATTAGATGACTAACCTATATTTGTGTAAACGGGATAAAGCATCAAATTCTAATATTAATGATATATATTCATATCCCTTTTTACTAATTTAAAATCCCTTTAGACATAAATAATATTTTAATATTTCCAAGTCCTAGTTAATTTGCTCATAATTAGTACAATATTTTTCACTATTTGAATTTCAAGTGATATATTTAGAATTTCTTAATGAAAGTGTATCTTATTCAATTAAATTACTAGTTTCATTTCAGTAAAATCTTCAACTTTTCAAAAATATTTGAACAAGTAAGTAAGCGTGCAAATATGAATTGAATAATATTTAATAAAAATATTCAAACTTAAAATTAAAATTATGTTTAGACATGCGTTTTTCATTTATAAATAAAATCAAAGTTTCGTAAGTGAGGGGAATTTTTCACTTGAATTACTCATCTTCCAAAACTAACAAAACATAGTTTAAAAATGTTCTTTGAAAAAAAGAGAGAAGATTTTTGTATGTCCAAATATGATTTTAGTATACTTTTTTACTCAATAGGAACAAAAAAAAAAGTTTCAAACTTTGTTTTTCCTCCTTTTTCAACTTATATAACTCACTTTTCTTTTAAATCAGTTTTAAAAGAATAATAGAGTACTATAGTTAATACTTTTACCCTTAATGAAATGATTTATGATCACATAAATATCAATGACTGATTTTAGATCACAAATTTCAAAAACTTTTTTTTCCTTAAACTCCATGTTCAAGTCAAACTGTATCACATAAATTAGGACGGAGAGCATACTCTTATTTATTATTTCGTCATATGATGACATAAGATGAATGACACTTAAAAAAGTAACTTGAGAAACTCCATAGATACTACTAGGAAGGTGGTAAGAAAGCTCATCAAACCCAAGCCAAAGATTCACCACAATCTAAAATAGACTATATAAAACCATAGTATATATCACTTTATAATAAACACAAACCACATATATCATATATTCTATCAAAGACTCTCTAAAGTCTTTCTTCTCAAAAATAATAATATTAGACCATGTTTGCCTCTTCCACTTTCCAAGAAACAACAAATGTCATTTCTCATCAACATTATCAAACTATAAACCCTAATTCTTTTGCTTTTCATGATCCTATCATCAACATGAATCAAGATTATGGCCATAACAATAGTAATAATAATAAGTATCAAGATTATGACACTTCATTTCTTGATTTGTTAGTTGATGGTGATCAAGAATATTATTCCAATTACTCAAATAATAGCTACAATAATGCTTCAATTTTTTCAGAAAATCCCTTCATGAAACAAGAGATAAGTACTAGTACCTATAGTACTAGTGGAAACTCATCATCAGCTAGTTCATTTGATGCCACACCAACACATGTTCACATGAATCATGAGTAAGTCACTGAATTACGTAGACAAAGCTAGAGTTAAGATTTTGAGTTTACCATTATGAATAGTAAAAAATGCATGCTATTGGATTCTGACTTAATTATTTATACTTAAAGTGGATCTAGCTATAACTTTTGAGTTCAGTTGAACCTGAAATCGAAGTTGTAGTTCCATCTCTATAATAAGTAGATAGAGTAATTATAATAAGTATTGATAATTATATCAATGATTTTGATGATTTATTTATTTATTTATTTATTATTTACTTGTTTGTTTGATTTTGATTTGTTTCTTTTCTAAAGAAATTCAAGCATGGGGATTGAGAAAGAAAAGAAAGGTGAAAAACATGCAATTGCTTTTAGAACAAAGACACAACTTGAGACCTTGGATGATGGATACAAATGGAGGAAATATGGGAAAAAGAAAGTGAAAACCAACATATATCTAAGGTAAACACTATTTTAGATGCTTAGAATTACATCAATTAAATAAATTATAATGTTTTGGCTCAAATTAAGTCTTAATTATTTCTTGATTCTCTATTTTATGTATTATTTATTATTTACTATATTTGCTTTTAAAGGTGGACTATTTTAGAAAGATATATATTCTAGGATTATTTTAGAAACACTAAATATAACAAAAGCCAATTATTGGGTGCTAGCTAGAAGCCTTTGATATATGTTTACTTATTAAACATACAATTAGTAAAATCATAATCTCAAACTAATTGATTGAAATTCAACTTATTTCTGTAGTAGGCCTATCTAGAGAGAGAACTAGCAAGAGACATAAAATGTATAGATTGAGAAAATATATTTAATATATAATATATAGTGGTCCTATATCTTATGGTCTAATTAGACTGCTCTATTGAGTCACATGATTATGAAAATGTTCTTTCATCCCCAAAAAACTAAACATATGCTTATTATCCAAATAAATAGTTGTTTATTTATAAAAAAAGTGAGTTTATAAAATCTTTTTTATTCTTTTTTATGCTTAGATTAGTTAAAATTCTTGAATAATATTTTCTTTTAGAAAATAAGTTTCTTATTTTTTTTATGAAATAGAGAAAATAAATTCCACAAGTAACATTTTATATTGATTAATATATCCACCCACCTGTTAATACGGTTCGTCTTCCCCATCCTTGTATCCTCTGTCCCCACTACCCCATCACTACCTCCACCCCTATCCCTATCCCCATAATATTTATCTAGATTATATATAAACGTATTTAAAATAATATTTTTTATTTACATAGCTAACACAAAAAATAAATAAAAAATTCACTTATTTCCTAGATATCGTTGGCCATGAGGAAATAGTGCTTCATGCCTTCACTTATGAACTAGAATCATTCTACAAATCATCTTTCAAAACAAATATCTTTTTTCATAACAAACAAATCTTTAATATTTAAGAATATTTTTTGATACTTTAAATTGATAAGTTATTTATAATCAGCTAATCCAAACGAACTTGAAGAATAAAAAGAAAATATTCTTGACGATCTACTTGTTAATTTACAATGGGTAGCTTGAAGACTTGACTAGTAAGTCCACCATTAATTTATGCAGATATATGATGCATTTATTCTTGTCGGTTACCTTCAAATTTATTCCAATATATTTTAGATTCTTTTGACCTACTTTGACAACCATTCATTTTATTAATTTCGTAACTTACCTAAATCACACGAAAGGAATTTGGATCGAAAGACTTACAATTTTTTTAAATTTATGTAAACCTGATTGAAAAATAGAATATAAATGATACTTAATTAAATATAATTAAATTTTAATTATGTTACTTTATTAGTAGCTTTTTTGGTTCATCAGGAGTACTTTTTAAATATGTTTTGAGAGTTGTGCACTTGTACTTCAATTGAAAATATAGAGAACTTGTATAATATATATTATTGTTATATAAATCCAATAATAGTGCACCGAGATGGACTTAATTGAAGTGACGTGACGTGAACTTTAAGAATTTATTTATTTTGTTGCTTCATTTGATTATCTTGCTATTTTGTTATCGTTATTTTTCTTTCATTTCTACTTTGATTACACTTTGTTTGAGTTGAACGTTTATCAAAAACACTCTCTCTACCCCACAATACTTTCTACATTTTTCAAACTTCACTTATAGTAGGATTATACTGAAAATATTGTTGTTTTATAGTCATCACAAGTCACAACCTTATTTGAAATTGAAGTATGGGATGAAAAAAAAGGTAAAAATATACTAATGATTTGTTTACAAATTGGGGAAATTAAATAGGAATTACTACAAGTGTTCAAGTGGAGATTGCAAAGTAAAGAAAAAGGTAGAAAGAGATGGAAATGATTCAAGATATTTGATGACTACATATGAAGGAAAACACAATCATGAAAGTCCCTTTATCATTTACTGCAATGAAAAGCCAGCAAACAACTTTTTGAATGAATCATCTTCTTCCTATTGATCTTCTTGAGGAGAATAATCAAGACTTTTATTAATTTTATAAGAAATATTGTTTGTTGTTCTATTTATGTACAATTATTTATATTTATAGGAAGAAAATATAAGTATTTTTTAATCACTCACTTGTGGTACATAATCATGTGTAATATAGAGATATTATTATGTTGTTAGTTGTTATTTAATTTATACTTACAAAATATCTATTGTTCAATAACTTATAAATTATATATATTGATTGTATAAAAGAAATATTGTTTATGTAATTTATTAGCGATGACAAATTTGTCAATTATTATGGAGGTTACATATTAATTAGGTTTTATTTCTTTGTATTTAATAGGGGTTTGAATCTAAGGTCATTAAGTACATTTATTTATATTAAAATTATTTGGTCCGAATATGTCCTAATTATTCAAATCTTAATTTCATCATCACTTTATCCATAACCATCAATCATCGTCTGTCATTATAACCATCACCATTGTTCGCTAACAACCAACCACATTTGCTATTACAATCATCACTGCTAACCAATATTGTTAATTGCTACTAATTTACCATTATATCCACTGTTGTTGATGCCGTCATCACCTTCAACCACTATTACTGGCAATTCCTATTACCAACTACCTCCACCATCACAATTAGTGTGCACCATTGCCAACCACCACCAACACCATTATCAACTACCACATTTTTCAGTCGCTTTCAACTACTATTATTAATCAACTTCATCATCACAATTAACTATCACTATCGCGCCAGTCACTACAACACCAAAAACCTCCATCATCACAACTAATACCCCAATTACCTTCATATATTCTCTTTCACGGAAGTAGAAGATAAGGTGAGTTTTTATTTTCATTTATCATAATTCATAAGTGATAATTGATTTTTTATGATGAAAAATATTGTATATATTATATTTACTGATTATTTTGTAAATTAGATTAATCAAAGAATTCAATTATATAATTATATATCTTCAAATTTAATAGCAATAATGTTAGTATCTCTCAACTTTAACTTGACAATAAGATCCAACTCATGGCCCAATCACCGTGGGCTCACAAAGGACCACAGTGACATTAACGGGTCACTTGGTTTGCCTTCAAGTTATATAGAGATCAATAAAATAAAATAAAACTATTTAAACGATAATTAATAGAACAACTTTCATATATAGTAAATATAAAAATCATATTTGTATGTTATAACTATAGTTTGCATAATTGCGCTCCATAACAAATTTTATGTTTGCTATGGAGCTTTTGATTTGTATAACTCGCTAGATACATCCAATTTTATACAAATTCATTTATACATTGTAATTTGTATAATAAGATCTGTATTTGTTTAATTATAAGTGTATAGGACGAAAATATATGTATTTGTATTTGTATATACACTTTTCTCTCGCTTCATACAAACACAAACGCATTTTATACATTTTATATCGAAATCTATAAAATGACTAATTGTATACCGAAAATGGCTAATTGTATATCGAATCAGATGACAAAAAAATGGGATGTTTGCTGCGAATTACAAATAAAATAAACTATGGCTATATCATTTAATTTGAATTAATAGTTTGTTATTTGATACAATTTTTCCTAATATTAATAATATAAGGATTATTTTATGATGTTAAATAATAAAATAATTGTTATCGATGATTAATAATGAATTTATAATTGTCACACAGTAACTTCTTACTTGAAGGATTTTTTTTTAATTTTTAAATAGACTTTTTCTATTATTCTTAATACACACATTTTTATTTCATATTCTATTCCATGTAAAATAAAAAAAACTTTTAAAAATACACAATTCAACACATTGCGCCTACATATCCACATTTTTTTATTCAAGTGACATTTTTATTAGATTTTTTCTATGATTCTTAATAGACATGTTTTATTATTCTTAATATCAAACTTTTTCTACTATTCTTAATAAACATGTTCTTATTTCATATTCTACAATCTACCTCATGTAAAATAAGAAAAAACTTTTAAAAATATATAATTCAATATATTGCACCAAGTCGTCTACATATTCACTTTTTTAAATTTACACCTATATAACAATTTCACTAATTTGTTAATATGCTTACATTATGATAGATTGTCTACGTCACTAACTCTTAAAATAAATTGAGAGTGAAATTTTCCGTAATTAAAAAAAAGAAAGTAATTACACTAATTTACATAATTATGTCCAAACACCCTCAACAAATCGGTGTCTGAAAAATATCGAAATTGGCGCCGCTTTTCTCTGGTTTCTCTTTCTCTCTCTACAATCCCCTTTCTTCTTTCTTCTGAAAATTGTCAACCCAGATTTGAAATCCCAAATTCCAAAAGGGGAAAATTTTTCCTAATATTAATAATATAAGGATTATTTTATGATGTTAAATAATAAAATAATTGTTATCGATGATTAATAATGAATTTATAATTGTCACACAGTAACTTCTTACTTGAAGGATTTTTTTTTAATTTTTAAATAGACTTTTTCTATTATTCTTAATACACACATTTTTATTTCATATTCTATTCCATGTAAAATAAAAAAAACTTTTAAAAATACACAATTCAACACATTGCGCCTACATATCCACATTTTTTTATTCAAGTGACATTTTTATTAGATTTTTTCTATGATTCTTAATAGACATGTTTTATTATTCTTAATATCAAACTTTTTCTACTATTCTTAATAAACATGTTCTTATTTCATATTCTACAATCTACCTCATGTAAAATAAGAAAAAACTTTTAAAAATATATAATTCAATATATTGCACCAAGTCGTCTACATATTCACTTTTTTAAATTTACACCTATATAACAATTTCACTAATTTGTTAATATGCTTACATTATGATAGATTGTCTACGTCACTAACTCTTAAAATAAATTGAGAGTGAAATTTTCCGTAATTAAAAAAAAGAAAGTAATTACACTAATTTACATAATTATGTCCAAACACCCTCAACAAATCGGTGTCTGAAAAATATCGAAATTGGCGCCGCTTTTCTCTGGTTTCTCTTTCTCTCTCTACAATCCCCTTTCTTCTTTCTTCTGAAAATTGTCAACCCAGATTTGAAATCCCAAATTCCAAAAGGGGAAAAAACAGGGTTCACTTTTGATTTCTCTTTCGCCATGTCTATTCGTAGAAGAACCTTGCTTAAAGTTATCGTCCTTGGCGATAGTGGGTACGATCCCTTTTCCTCTTCTCAATCTTCATTTCCAATTTTTTTTTTACAAATTTGAGAAATTTCTGATTCCGGCTAGTCATTTGGGAAATAAATTGGAGTATTTAGTGCTAATATAATTTCTCCTTTTTTTTGGTTTACAGGGTTGGTAAAACGTCATTAATGAATCAGTATCCTTTTCTACGACATTGCTAATTGTTGAAGGTCAAGTTTGATTTTTTGTTGAAATAATGAATTGGGTTTTACGAGTATCTCAGTTTTCAGAATTTAGCTAACTTATGAGTATGTATTTGTAATCTTTTAGGTTCTTTTATTTACTGTGTATTTGTTATGATTACTGTTTAGGAGCGCATTGTGTTTTTTTCTTATAATTAAAGTAGTTGTGAATGTGGGTCTTTGACGGTTAGCAAAGATATGTACACAAGAAGTTCAGTCAGCAATATAAAGCTACAATTGGAGCTGATTTCGTGACAAAGGAGCTTCAAATTGATGACAGGCTTGTTACACTCCAAGTGGGTTTCTTGGGTATTGATATTGTGAAAAATGTTTTATGGAATTATGCATTTACTCAATGTGTTTGTGTTCTGGTTTGGTAGATATGGGATACGGCTGGTCAAGAGAGATTCCAGAGTCTTGGGGTTGCATTTTATAGAGGTGCAGATTGCTGTGTTTTGGTCTATGATGTTAATGTGATGCGATCCTTTGATAACCTTGACAATTGGCATGAAGAATTTCTCAAACAGGTTGGGTGATTATTCTCTGTGGATTTGTTTGGTTCAGTGATTTTTCTTATTTAGTAGCTTAGGGTATATATCCTGACTGCTTAGTGCTTATACATTGCTAAGAGTCATGTTATCAACAAATTAGCAAATGCCTCTGAGACGCTTAGTTAAACGCCTCTGAGACTAATTAATCCCTGCATTGTTTTCCAGTTTAAGATCCTGATAGGTAAAAGATTTGGGATTATGTTGTGCATTTATAGAGTTTCACGTATAAGCGTATACATTCAAATCTTAATTGGACTACTTCTGTTATAACTTTGGAATGTATCATCATTTCCTCATGCAAATATTGTCTTGTTGATTGTGGAACTAAGATAAGTTGCGATCCACGTTAACCAACATAATTTATTGATATGCAGGCTAATCCGCCAGACCCTAAAACATTTCCTTTCATATTACTGGGGAACAAGATTGATATAGATGGTGGAAATAGCCGAGTGGTAAGGCAATGGTAGCGGTAGACTTTTCAAATTATGGTCTCTGGATTGTGTGTACCTCTTGCTCTTGATTGATCCTCTATGGAAGTTTCCTTTTCTTCAATATTGTTCTCTCTCTGCAATAATTGTGACTGATTTGTCTTTTGCATGCTGAACAGGTTTCTGAGAAGAAAGCAAAGGAGTGGTGTACTTCAAAAGGGATACCTTACTTTGAGACATCAGCAAAAGAGGATATAAATGTTGATGCTGCATTCTTGTCTATTGCAAAAACTGCCTTGGCCAATGAGCACGAGCAGGATATGTGAGTTTTTGTGAATTTTCATGAATATAAACAACTCACTGTTGTTTGTTGCTTTTATGTGATATGGTGCTTACATACCTTGAAGCTTTGCATTAATAATAAGATGAGCTAATTCAAGGGATGAGCCCGAAGGTGTTAAGTGAATTTACTCTAACATGTGACCCCTCGAATGTACAAGAATGTTTGCTAGTGGAGTATGATGAAACTAACATTAAGGGGATACTCAGGAGTTAAAAAATTTTCTGGAAGGGTGTGTGACAGAAGTCACTTTTTAGGATAATGTTTTTCATGAGAAAGTCATTTTCTGATATTCAGTTGACAGAAACATATAATGGGGGAAAATGACCTCCCTAATTTACGGTCGGAAGTGATTTACCCTAAAACTATCTGGACTTTAAACTTCATATCACTTGCTTCAGCTAATACT